CCCACACAATACAATGTATATAAACACATATCATATACATAATCAATCAATACATAAATTTGATGTATTATTCCAACCGTTATATCCGATGACATATTCAATGTGATTAGTTTCAGTTTTCCCTAATCAACATACAGTGTATACAATAATCAAGACTATTCTCCACCGATAGCCCAAAGCAGTTATTTTTAACACAGAAAATAAATGCACTAAACCGATACAATATCAACATTTTAATGGGTGAGTGATTAATTAATCCAACTACACCATTTAATTATACCAAATTAATTATACCAATTAATTTATTACAACACATTTAGGGCATTATTCCCTTATTCTCAAATAATGATCCTAAGACCAAATTCCACCAATTTAACTCTCAAGCCCACATTTCCAAGGCTCTAAATATACATGGAGCTTTAAAACACAAAACCCCTCTTTTAAAAATTACAACCAAACCCTAACTTTTTCCAAAATCTCCCAACATCACCAACTAATCAAAATGACCAAAATTAAAGACAAAGCTCATAAGATGGAGTAGGATATCCCTACCTCAAGATGAAGAGCTCAAATGGAGGAGATGACCAAAATCCAAAGTGCTCGAAATCCAAGATTTTTCAGATTAAAAGGAAGCCCTCAACACCCTCTATCTTTCTTACAAAGAGCCTAGGCTAGAAACTCACTAGAAGTAGATCAATCCCTAGAGAGAAGTTGTTTAGAGAGAGAGAGAGCTCAGATCTAGGGTTTTTGAAAAAGAAAGAGATGAAAAAGTGAAGTGTAATCCCGCTGCTGTCTACTGATATACGTATGACCCGCTCGAGCGGAGAATAGGACGCTTGAGCGTCAAACACAAAAACTGGACCCGCTCGAGTGCAAAGATGCCCGCTCGAGTGCCAAGACACAACTGCAAAACACACCAGCTCGAGCGCAAAGGGAAAGCCGCTCGAGCGTAGATTTTCCCCTTCCAGTACTTTTACAGACAATAAACTACCCGCTCGAGCGCCAAGATACTCGCTCAAGCAAGAAAATTCGCTCGAGTGTGAAAAACACACCTGCAGAAGTTTTGTAGAGCCACGAAATGCTGAGAGTGTGTAAACCCCGCTCAAGCGCAATAAGACCTGCTCGAGCGGACAACCAAAAAAATCAGTTTCCGCTCGAGCGCAAAGGGTCCCGCTCGAGCGTACCACCAAAATTCTGGGCAACAAGGAATGGGACAAAAGCTCAACCAACCTGTTCGAAACACGCCCAATACATCCTAGAACTCAAACACATGGAATTAACGGATAACAACAAGATATACAACCACCAACTCCACGAAACCTAAGTCCGGAATACAACAATCAAAGGAAGGAAAACCGGGATCACTATAGACCTTCTGAGAAATCCAATAGTAGTGTAAGTGTTTCATTGAATAAGAGTAAATAAACATTATGTTAGTAATAAATAATACATGTTACTAATTACAAACTTCTTTTACAGACATTCATGGGCTTTAGGACAGCTGCATTATTTGGGGAAGAGGGGAGCAGCCAAGCACAAGCTGATGATTGTTAATCTAGGAAGAGGCCAGTAGTAGTAAGTGGTGTTGAAGAGCAACTGATGGGCAACCAAGGAAGATGGCAAGATCAACAGCAACCAACATTGGCAACAAGCAAGCAATGGGCAACCAGTGTAGTGTGAACAAGTGGTTTTGAACACTTTTGTAATTAAAATAGGATTTTTGCAATATTCATGAGGCTTTTGGAATGTTTATGGTTTATCTTACCTTACTCACCACTTTTGTAATTAAAATAGGCTTTTAGAACAATTGTGTTGTACATATGGGTTATGAAACCTTGAACAATCCTTGTATGGTTATTATCCTTCAATGGTTGAATGGTTGAAACCCTAATGTTTGGTTGGCTTGAATTATGTTCTAAGTTCATTCATGAAAACAACAAGTTCTTATGCTTGCATTGTTGTGGTTGTTATGCTTATGTCAAACCAAGTTTCATATGCTTGTATGGTTATCAATTTTGACCATCCTTGTATGGTTATTATCATTGTACATGAATGTAGGGACAACATGTTGAAGCTAGGGACAAACCATTACAAAACCATTTCACCATTACAAAACAAAACCATTTCACCAATTGATAACAAAAGTATTGCAATTACAAAACAAAGCATTTCACAAACCATTTCAAACCTAACATTTTATTTACATTTAACCATTACAAAACAAAAGCAATGCACTATGCATTTCCCCATTACAAAACAAAAGCATTGCAATTGCAATTGATAACAAACCATTTCACCATTTCAAACCAAACACAATTGACATTGCCATTGTTCAACAAAAGCATTGCAATTACAAAACACATCGTGGAAGTAATGTACCTAGTCAAAACACATATTATCAATTACACAGCAAGCCTAAACACTATTTTGAGTACAAATAGTCCATTCATAAGCAATGTAGCAATCAAGGCAATGACAAGCAACTTTTGTCGTGCACGATAACGTTGAACAATATCCTCTAATTATGCAACCTAATTGACACATTCTTCTAGTGCTGCAACCTTATCCACCAACTTCGGCAATACTTGGCTACCACGAGGACATATGGGTGGATCGTACCAGGAAAAGAAACCACAAGCCCCATTTTTCTATAATTGCAATAAAACATAAACAAATGAGCTATTGTTTTTTGGTGAATCTTCCATATAGTTGTTATCTTCTTCAAATTGAACACATTACTTTATTCTCCATTTTCTATAAATACTGAAAAATTGTATATACTTACTCCATAATTAGGACAACCCAAAAACCTCCTAGCAGGATTAGCATGAGTCCACGAAGTTCTGATCTTTGCTCTTAACCCACAATTGCAATGAGTCAACTCACCCCAATTGTTCCTACCCCAACTATTACCTTCACTCATTTTTGTCTTTCACTTTGATGGAATAGAAAACAGTTTGCACAACTATGAAGAGAAAAAGAAGGTCAACAATGAAGACAAAAACAAAGTCAACAATGGAGAGAAAAAAAAGGTCAACAATGGAGACAAACAAAAGGCCAATAATGGAGAAAAAAGAAAGGGAAAAAATCGTATAAAACAACCAAAAACGAACCCATTTCTTACATCTGTCTCAGAGTCCAAAGCTTTTTTGGAAAATCAACTATGAAATTGTTGTCTTCCTTCGATGCGTAGCTTCAATCACGGGTTGAATCACCAGGTGGGTTGCATGGAGCTGTAAATCGCAATAGAGGGCTTTCTTTTGTCCTAAATCGTGAAGATTGGGCAATTTTGGCGCCCAAATCAGTCTTCCATTAACTAAAAGAGACAGAATGGACGGGGGGCTTGGATTGTAACACGGGTGGGATGGTGGGGTACAAATTGTTGCAATTTGAATCCTGAGGTTTAATTTGAAAAATGCGCTAAATCCTGAGGTTTTTTGTGTAATTTCCGCAAAGTTTAAAAGCCAACCGTAGCCAAGCTCCCAAATAAGCCATTTATGACATAACAATTTTATTTTTTTTTTAAACTTAAAAGAAATTAGTAATGTAATTTATCAATTTTTTATATGAAAATAATTATTTGATAATGATTTATAGTCTAGATGATCAAAATTGAGACAATGACAGTGTAATTGTTCAAAAACATTTTCAAATCATGTTTGGTGTGTTTGGTGTAGTTTTAGAATTATAATTTGAGTGTGAAGTTATGTTTTGAGTTTTTGAATAATGATTTGAAAATAGAGAATTTGTTTGGTTATGAGTTTTAAAAATAGTTTTGAAATGATTTATATATTTTTTTGATTCATTGATGTATAGAATGTGAGAGAATGTGGAGGAGAGAGGAGAGAAAAAAATTGATTGATTGATTGAATAATAATAATAAATAAATAAATAAAAAAAGAGAAGAGAGAAGTTTTGAAAGTAATTTTGAGTTATATTTTAAAAATATGTTTGGTTAATATGTTTCATCTAAATCATGATTTAAAAACAGAATTGAGTTTTGAAAAGTAAATCAAATGTTACAATATTGTTTGGTAACGTTTACGTTTTTTATTTATGTTTACAAAAATTTTATAAACTAGTTTTTATTTATTTTTAGAAAAACATAAACTACAAACGCGCTTTGAACAAAATGTTTGAAATTTTTTTAAAACATAACTAAAAAATATGTTTGCTCAAGCCTAAAATATTTATATTTATTTTTTATCATTTATGACAATGGAATCATACACATTATAATTGAAAAAAAAATATTATTAGTCAAATTTTAAAATTTTTGTTTAAAATTATTTTTGAGTTTACATTTTTTCCTCAAATTTATAAATTGAGACAACCATTTATAAATCAAAAAAAAATTATCAAACAAGTTTTTATAACAATTTTTTTAATTTTGGTAAATATAAACTGAAAACTGAAAACAAAATGGTTATCAAATAGGCTCAATTTATTTATTTTTAAATTTTTTTTTTCAAAAAATGTGCCAAAAAAAAAATATATGAGTTAAATAAGTTAATAAATTGATTTTTTTCCCCTACTTTCCAAAATGCCAGTGGTAATTTATAAGCATTAAGAATTAAAATTTACAAAATATTTTTGTTAAAATTTTCCCAAAAAAATTCAATGTTGGTTCCAGTGAAACAATGGCCCTTCTCCCTAGGGCTGTAGCCTGTAAGCTGTAGGCCATGCATGGCCCATTAAGAGTAACTTACACCAGACCTGACCAAGCCCATTGAGCAGTCCAAACAGATAACACGATTTCGTACACCGGCCCACAGTCTTCACACGTGCGACTCATTTCAAAAAAAACAAAAAAGGGTTTTTCAAGGGTCGGCGATCTCGGGCAGACATCTGCCCGTTGTGTTTTCACTCATCAACATCTCTCTCCCGCTTCTTCCAAGTATTCGAAATACATATATCTATCTATCTATTCTATATACACTGACACACTCATATATATACACATCATTTATATGTATCTACATATTCGATTCGATAGCGTCGTTGTCTTTCTCACTATCGATTGATCAAGCACAGAGAGAGAGAGAGAGAGAGAGAGAGGGAGGGAGGGAGGGAGGGAGAGAGAAACCCTAGCTCCTGTGGTTAGCTGTTGCGGTCAAATAAGGTATACTTCTACTGTCTCTCAATCTTGACCTAGGGCTTTAAATTGATGTTCTTCGAGTGGATCTAGTGTATTTGTTTGTTTTGGGGTTTAACATTTGCTGATAATGAATTCGATGTTGATTGGGGTTTGGCTTTTGCCTTGTTATTTTTGTGCACGAAATCTACGGATCTTTTCTTGTTTTTGGTTGTGATTTCTGAATCGGTTATTTTCTATATCTGGTTGCCGTTTTGAGGGTTTATGGTTATGCTCTGTTTGTATTTGTCATTATATCTGCTTTTTGCTGCCTCTTGTTTGTGTTTCTTTTTTTATATAAGATGTCTGGGCTGTTTGTTTGGATGGAAAATAATTGCTGAAACATTTTCTTGGATGTTTTTGGGACTCTTATGTATTTGTTATTTGATGGGTAGTTTGGAATTTGAAGTTTGGGGGTCTTTTACTGTTCCTTTTTGCTTTGTTTTGGGCAGCTGAAATTTGTCTTTTTAGAAGGAAAACTTTTGTCTTTTCTGGAAACAACTACTTGGAATTTTGAATTGCCATTTTTCTTCAACTGTTTTATTGAAGTGGGTATGATGGTTTTGAAAAGCATACCTTTATTATTTCCAATAGAATCCAAATCGTGAGATGAAACATAGCCGTGCTGTTGAAAAAACGTAGCTTATTATTGTGATTGGTACTAATGAGCAGTTTTGTTGAACAATTCACGTACCCTGAGAAGGAAAGGTTGCACTGTTCATATTTCCTGGAAATTGGCATCCCTAAACTAGAGGCTGGAACTACACACATGCCTACAGACAACAGTGATCCTAGCACTCTCATTTCTATGTACCTTATATCATAACCATGCACCGCATTAAACTCCCTCAAATACTCTCTGAAACTTGCGGGCTGGGAAATTTCATTCCAACTACAAGTTTGGGATCCTTTATCATCCCTTCTTTGTATTCTGGGTATCCAGCGTCATCTCTCTCATCTGATGATCCTTTCAGACTAATCAATTCATCATCATCATCATCAACATCTGAATACCAAGCAACATCATTTGGTAGATTGACTTTAGGTGGTGGTCCTTCAGTTATTCTGTGTGAGGTTTCATAAAAAATGTCATCATTTGGACCTTCCAGGTCTTCATACAACCAACTTTGATTATTACTTTCCTCTACACCATCTTCAGAAGTTTCAGTATCATTATATTCTTCACTAACTATCAAGGTTTTGAAAAGCGGTTGCGGTCGCCGTAACGGTTGCGGTGGCGCGGTTGCGGGGTGTAAAGGCCGTAGCGTAACGGTTGCGGTAATCGAAACCGTGAAATTTTTTTATTTTTTGCACAATTTGAAAAAAATTTACTGCTACGCATGTTTTTTTTCCATGATTATATTTATTGGGTTAAAAATAAATATTGATCAATTTTTATAAATTTTTAAATATGATCCAATATATTTCATATTTTTAAATCACTATAAACTAAGTTTTTTACATTTTATTTTGATAATTAATGACTTTACATTATACAAAAAGCAATCACTAACTATTATATATAAGATAAACAATGACAAAAGTAAGAGAATAAATAAGAACCTAAATATATATACATATTTTAACCAACCCAAATAGCTAATGACCACACTTACTATTATTATTATTATTATTATTATTATTATTATCAAACAATATATATATATATAGAGAGAGAGAGAGACACAAACAAAATAGTTGAGTGATAGTAGCTGAATAGAATAGCATAGGTCTTACAGCTTCAACAAGTCAATAACATGTTCTTCATCTTTTCTCTTCTCTCTCTCTCTATCTCTTGCTCCTCCATTTTCTCTCTTTATCTTCCCTTTTCTCTCTATCCCTCTTCCCCCATTTTCAGTTTTTTTTTTTTTTTTTTTGTATTTTTTTGAAAGAAACAGTTTGGAATCGTTACGACCGCTACGGTAGCTGTTACAGCCGACATACCTATGAATTTCAATCACATTGTAAAAGCAGCCGTAACGGGTGGTGGTAAGCGCCAAAACCGTTACGTAATGGCGTTACGTAACGGTTGCGGCCGCTTTTTAAAACCTTGCTAACTATATAGTCCAAGTTCTTGGAATCATCACTATCTCTCTTCATCAGCCAAAAATTCATTCTCACTCTGTGTACTGTCACTCTTATTAGCCTCATTACCTTCTACAGACTCAGTGTCAAGTATGTTGCAACCCCTTCTCATGTTGTGTATCATTACCCTAATGCTCCCTTCCTATTTGATTCTCCCTAGCTTGATTTTGACTTGATTTCTTACTACCCTCCCTTCTTGTTTGACTATCATCTGAGCCATTCCCAATGTCATCAACTATGATGTCAATATCAGACAAGTTTATATCAATAATGTCTGTGTCACCACCACATATGGCATTATCACCCTGTTCTGTGTCACCACCACCTATGGCATTACCACCCTGTTCTGCACCATTGGGATCTGACAACAACTCACCATTGGATGACAAAACCATAATAGGATCTACGCCATTCTCTACATACTACTGCATAATCCAAACCTTTATAAGCCTTAAGCATTTTCATCACATCAGCATCACTGTAAATTGTTTTCAACCCAACATCTAAACTATAATCAGGCCATGTATAGTACATATCTATGTTTGCTCATTTTCCATCAACTAGGTCATAATAAAGGTTTCTTAACTCAAACATGGACATTTTGTCAAGGTCACAGTTAATTATTTCATTCACCCTACCACTCTTATAAACATGTGGATGAAAGACAAAATGGCCCCATGGTGTATTTGAACAGTTATGAATTTGTTTGACATTTTCAGCATTCACTCCTAAAGTAGAAAAGAATTTCATCAATACATTTTGGAACCACAACCTACAACCCTAAACCCTAAACAAAGATATAGTCATGCATGTAACAAACATAAACTAAAATAATAAATAATCCCTAATCCTCAAACAGATAGGAAAAGAATGAATATAAAAGCATAAAGTCATTCAATACAAACGCCTACAGTATACACTGAGGATTAAATGCCTACAGTCATACAATACAAAGCATAAAGTAATAGAATTAAAAAACCTATTCTTCAGGCATAAAGTTAATAGTTAATTGAAGAAGGAAACAAACAAAGTAATACACTGAGGATTAGGGATAAATTTCACCTTTTCAGTGCATACTCCACACAAAATACAATGACAATAAACGAACAAAGTAATACACTGACATCATTCACTATAAATAAACAAATAACCATAGGGGACCACAGTATATGAACAACTTCATATATACAAAACCACCATACCAACAGGATATGACCAACTGCATCGAACATAGTGTCCATGACAAAAAGTTAACCACTAATGGTGCGAAAAAGGAAGGCACACAAACCCTAATATACAAAACGTACAGCAAATCGAACTAAATGAAATACAAAATAAAAAGCAATGATCGAAAAAATACCGTACAACTTATTTTTCGTGAACTTTGGGCTTTGTTTGCTTCATAAATCTTCAAATTAGTGACAAGCGAACAATCGAAGCCCTACTTTCTCAAATCAATACACTATTTTTCGATTGAAATCCTAATTTGTTCAATCGAACAACCTTAATTTGTTGAATCGTTTGATCGAACAACCCTAGTTCTCTTCACTTTTCTCTTCTCAGATGCATGACTGTTGGAAGTGAAAATGGTTAGCAAGCTTAGATATATATATATACAAGGGCAAATTGGTCTTTTAACGTCTTCCATACACGGTGTTAACGGTGCACATTAGTCTATCAACCACAGGGGGTTATGTGGTGATATTCGAAAGTCAGAAGTAATCCGCATATGGCCTAAATCATAAGGGTTAAACTGAAGCTGAGAAGGAAAAAAAAAGAAGTAAAAGTTGAAATAAAAAAATGACAAAATATAAAATGGGTTAGTGAAATTAATTTACTCCAAAACAAAATAAAAATTTCAGTTTATGATTTCTTACCATGAATAATAAATAAAAGAGGTGACTTTTTTTATTTGTTCTCACTTTGTATAATTTGAACTTTCCCTCTTTTCCATTAGCACTTTCCTCCTCTTGTCGAAACTTGAAAGCACAGACAAATTGGATGGCATAATAGACATATAGTAACCAGCAAATCTGTGAATCCCATACCAACCAACATCATCAGAAGGTAATTACATGGATCATTTTAGTTTCGCATCACTGTAAATCTACTCTTTTTTTTTTTTTTTTTTAAATTTTTTTTAAACCCTAGATTGCTTTAGAGGAAGATCCGAGTAGATTCATCTCAAACCCAACAAAAAAAAAATGGGAGATTTGTCGAGAAAGATTGATGTGACGACTGTAATTGCGGTCAGTGACGACTTCGTTGGGGTTCTCAGAGATGAGAAGGATGTTAACGACTTGACCCAACATTTGGAACAATCAAAGGCTCTTCAATCTCAATGCGACGCTGATTACAATGATGTTCTCAGCTTGCTTCAAGGTCCAGTATTTTTCCTTATTTGTTCTCAACACCCCTTCTTTCATTTCAATTTATTTTGTTAAAAATTGCTGTTTTTATGTAAGGGAAATAGCAGTTAAGTGGAAAGTTCAAAAAATAATTTCAGATACATGGAAAACTTTATAAAATTTTCTTTTAATCTTGTAAAGTTCATCTTGAATATGTAAGGTTGCGTTTGGTTGTGTTTTGTAAATGTGATTTGAGAGTATGAGTTGTATTTTGAGTTTGTGTGTTGTAGAATTATGATTGGAGTGTAGAAAATTTGTTTGGTAAAGAGTTTATGTAGAATCACATTTCAAAAGCACAACCAAACACAGCCTAATTTTTTCTTTTTTTCTTTTTTTTTTTAAGTTGCACTGAAATGAAATTCCCCCCAGTATGTATGTATGTACGTACGTACTAAGAGATGGAATATCTAACTAAAATTTTGGGATTCATTTACTCTATTTTGATGGAGGGGTTTAGTGAGAAAAGAAAAGAAATGGTGAGACTTCACTATATGGATGGTTGAGGAAGGTGAGAAATGGACTCTCACCAAACTTGTGTTTTGTTTTTCACCAAAAGTGGTGAGATTTGTGAGAAAAGAATTGAATTTAATGAAATTTGTTTAAAATACCAAAACTACTCATATGAAAAAACACAACTTATTAATATGGAACGTTATTTTAATAAAATAAAATAAAACACTTTCTTTTCCTTTCTCTTACTTACCCTATCCAAACAACATAGGGGAGAAATCCCATTCTATTATCTTTTATTCATCCAAACGTAATGGTGAGAAATCATAATCGTTTCTTTTCTTTTCTCACCCAAGTGACAAACTCCAATCGTTTCTTTTCTCGCCTCCCCTCATGATCCAAACAGAGTGTTAGAGACATCACAAATATATGTACCGTATTGGCAATAGCAAATTGAAATGTGGTTTAGCAGTTGTTAGTTTTTTGCTTGATGTGCGCGTTCTAAGATTCTCGTTTGCATAACTTGCATAATTATATTTTTCATTTCCACACATTTTAAAAATTATAATTTAAACCAAAGATAAATTCCCAGTTTCTTACAATTTTCAATGTGTACCCAACAAAATTATTAGTAATTAATTTTCCCTCTAGGATGGGATGTTACACTATTCATCTACTAACCACCCACAATTATCAAACCCTAGTCCAAATGACAGGCTGTCACCCCATTGAGGAGACAGGGATATTTGCCATTGTAGTTCTTTTAGTCCATCATTGTTTTGCAATTGCATCTTGTTTAAAATGAATACCATTCTTTAAGTGCAACTGCTAGAAAAATACTTCAGGAAGGCTTATTCTCAATTTTCTTTGCAAACATGCTATTTAGTGTCAATATAGATCTGCATGTTATATCACTGATAAGTTATTACATGCATCAGATTATCAGAAAAGGATAGATGTGAGCAAGAAAAAATCAGATGAGGCAAGATCCGAAGCTGCTTCAGATGCAGAAATGGATTTGCTTCAACAAGAGTTGGAAGAGGAATTTCAGAGAGAACGTTTGCTCCAGGAGGAACTTAGATAAGTATTTGGTCAATTTCAGTTGTATATTTTTTATTCTTGGTTTCAAATCAATGGTATTAATTGGTGATTTGTTTGTAAATTCTGTCAACACAGTTATTACCAATGAAATTAGTGATCTAGAAAATCAAAGGGCTTCTGTTGGAGAAAGAAGGGAGATTCTGAGAAAGCTTGAGCAAGATGAGATGAGGGCACAGTAAGTCCAGAAAACCTGTTACAATCATTTAAGGATTCTCGCTTTGTGTTGCTCATTCTAGTATGGTTGTCATGTCTTACAATGCTCATTTAAAGTTTTGTATGGTCATGAATTCGTCACATTTATTAGAAGAAAAAAATTGCTTGTGAACTCATGCTTGGAGTTTTAAAGTAGCGGGGGAGGGTTACTTCAATGTTTCAAATTTTGCCCTTTTGTTGGCTAGGGTCCTTTCAGCATCAGTAACTTCGTATATATATCGTATTTTTATGTGTAATTGCGTTCATATATTCAACTAAAAAGATCTTATCAACTACTTTTGATTTGGAAGGTTGGAACCGCGCGAAATGTATTTACCTCGTACTTTATTCTCTCAAATCTGTATTTAAATAGAGTCAACCCTTTGACTTGTGAGGAAATAATATGTTACCATTCTTTCTTAGCCTTCTTTTGGAACTGTGATTTGATTTCTATTCTTTCCTTCTTTATCTACATTTTTGGATGCATCAGAGTAAACAATTTTCTTGTGTCTTGTAGGATGAAGCTTTCAATGTATGCTTCTGTCACAAATATAATTCCAAACTTGCATGAAAATTCCAAAATATCAGGGTGTATCCCTACTTGTTCTTTTTACTCTTTTCCTTCCGTGATGTCAATTTTATTTCTAGTAGAGGCTAGTTTAGTATTTTGCAGAATTGGGTTTTCCTCAAACCTGACCAATAACAGATATCGTGAAAAGAGACAGAAAGGCGGTTGAGAAGTTTGAATTTGACCCTTCAGAAGCTACTGCATTTGATACATGCAACAACATTTGGAACATGATAAGCTTGTGATAAAATTCGAACGTTCTTCCATTTCCAAGGCAATATGGAATCCAGTTTATGAGTATATTTATATCGGTTGTCTTATAGTTACGTTGAAACTCAAAACTTTTTTAGCATTTTGAATCTTTAATCTTGTCAATTTGTAATTTTTGTTGACTTAATTCCAAGTCTGTTAGTGTTGACGCGAGTTATTTGGCTGTTTGCTCCATTTAATCTCTTCTCGTGATATTACTTGGAAGATAAATATTGCAGTTCTTGAATTGAGACAAGTAGAAAACATTTTAATCGTAGCAGATAAGTGGATCACTATATTGAATCATTCAATCTCATTTCTAAATCAATTGTTCACAGATTGTTGCTGTGTAGATTTAGAAGTAGTTGTCTGTTTCCAACTACTGTAAATGCTTGCAAAGCTAGCAAGGATTTTGAATTTTCTTGAGAAAGTTTAGAATCTAACAACATATGTTCCTTAACCTAGATTTCCTCATTTGGGATTTTCACCTAATTCATGCACTTTTTAGAAACATGGTTTGCCCATTTGAACACATTATTATATTAGCCTGTCAATGATATATGTATGGTAATGGATTGATGCTGGACTGAGTCACAGGTGCTACGAATTACACAGAATTTCCATCTTCATCTTCATCTGCTTTGTCGATGAAGCTGTTGGTGATTCTGGTTTTTTCTGTGCTGGTGCCATTGATGTCAAGTTTTTAACCTCGCTTGTATAGCTAACTTGAGCAACAGAATTTTCATTGTTGGATGAGTTGATCTCAACAGAAAGTGATCTGCAAGCACTAGGTCTGCTAGAGCCTTTGTATGCTCTGCAGACGTAGGCTGCAAAATTTTGGTAATGTAATGTACGAAAAAATGGCTTTGGAGATCACCCAATTTCTTTTGTCCGCTCAATCAGCCGATGCTAAGGTCCGGACTGAGGCAGAGGGTAACCTCAGGCAGTTCCAAGAGCAAAACCTACCATCTTTTTTCCTGTCTTTGTCAGTTGAGCTCTCAAACAATGACAAACCCATTGAATCCCATAGATTGGCAGGTGTCCTGCTTAAAAATTCATTAGATGCTAAAGATGCTTCTAGGAAGGAACATCTTGTTCAACAGTGGGTGACAATTGATATTTCTGTTAAATCCAAAATCAAAGACTTGCTCTTGAACACTCTTGGATCTTCAGCTCCTGAAGCAAGGCACACTTCTTCCCAAGTAATTGCTAAAATTGCTGCAATTGAAATTCCCCGAAAGGAGTGGCCTGAACTAATTGGATCGTTGCTTGTCAATATGAGTCAGCAAGATAGGCCTGCTTCATTGAAACAAGCAACCTTGGAAACGCTTGGATATACTTGTGAGGAGATATCTCACCAGGATCTTGTGCAAGATGAAGTCAACTCTGTCCTCACTGCTGTGGTCCAAGGCATGAATGTTGCACAGCACAGCCCTGAAGTCCGCCTTGCAGCAACTAGGGCTCTCTATAATGCTCTTGATTTTGCACAGAGCAACTTTGAGAATGAGATGTAGCGGAATTACATTATGAAGGTTATCTGTGAGACGGCCGTTGCTAAAGAGGCTAAGATTAGACAAGTTGCTTTTGAATGTCTTGTTTAAAGGTACAAAAAATAGAATGCAATGAGAAAAATTCAAAAAATATAAACTACCCCTATGCTAACTATCACACTCATTGATGATCTAAATGTGTTTGAATATAAAACAATGTTTTTAAATGATGTCCTTGTCGGTAGGTCATATAAAACAATGTTTTTGAATGATTTATATATTCACATAATTCTAGAAGCTTTGATTCGAATTTTTGAATTTAATTTTTTGAAAATTGAATTTTTTGTTTTTCTTACTTTTTTGTTTTTAGTGATTTTTTAATATTTTAGTCAATTTCTTTTTTATTTTTTACATGCACCTAATTTAGATGTACTTAAAAAATAAAATATTTGTAAAAATTCAATAAATTCACAATATTACGAAAATGTACTGAATTTTTCGATTTTGGATTTTTTTGTTTTTGCATTTTTGTTATTTAGTAAATTTTTTTAAAGATTTTTTTCACAAATATTATACTTTTTAAGTATATTTATGTTAGGTGTATCTAAAAATTTTATTAAAAAAAATGCTTAAAACATTAAAAAAAATCATTGAAAACAAAAAAAATACAGAAAATAAAAAAGTAAAATTTTTTTGAAAAGTGTTTTCTGAAAATCAAAAACAACCGATCTAAATATAGTCTCAAGAGCTGTTTTTAATATTTTTCTTTTCTTAACACTAAATTAGGTTAAATTAGGTTATGGTCTAAGTCATGCATGTTACAAATTACATCAACATCATAACATCTACATACTTGTTGGAGCTTTCAAACCATTATAATATGCTTCTAAAATATAGAATAGTTAAACTATTTGGTGTTTATTAAAGGTGGGTTATTTCTAAAAATATTCCAAAAAATAGTTTTCAAAAATAGTTTATCAAAGAAGTTTAATATAAATGCAGAACATGAAAACACATCAAAAGATTCGCATTTAGAAGTGCAAGATCTTGCATTGGAAATCAAAACATATATATGAAACCAATTTTCATAGTTTCACACATTTTATTTATACATTCATATACTGTTTGAGTAATTTTTTTCCATCCTTATCCATTCCAGGAAATAGAAACTATAATTGGCTCGATAATTAACAACAAAGTTATATAGTTTAGCTGGAAGATCCAATCTCATGTTCCCTAATTACCTAAATTAAGTACTAATCATAAGGATCATCATCAATAGAGATTATGTGGCACTACAAGTACCATGCCACGGAAAATAACCTATCATTGGTACACATAACCATACGCTGATGCTTTAATTAATTAAAATTTTGTATAAATTGTCTCCTACGCTTCCACGTGCTTTGCAGAATGAAAAATAATAACAACAATAAAATCATCTTAAGTTTCAGTTTTAGTTATGTAACATTAATAACTTCAAGATCAAATGTAGAGAACTTATCAAAGACATGGCTAGTCTGTTGACATGGCTAAACATAGGACGGTTCATCATAGATTAAAAAAAATTCAGATAAGCTATTAACAATACTTAAAAGGGGTCTGACATGGCTAATCTGTTGACATGCCAGAGCATAATCTTGTCACAGCGATAGTATTTTCCTAATCCAACATATTAAGGTGGCCAAGTCTGACAATTGATCTAAAGGCTAAAAGTAGGATTCAGAAAATGAAGAGGACAAAGTGTGTTTTGAAGCAAATAAATAGTAACAGAACCATGTATTAGTTCATCAATGTCTTATATACAATGCAGTCGACATTTTACAATATTCACATAATGAATATACACAGATGGAAAATTTTCCAGTTCTTATGTGCTGCTAATTGGTTTTCTTAATATATTCACCCCTGATTTCACATATCGGGCAAGGTACAGACTTGAATAGAAGACCTCCTGTTGTTTACCTCCAACAAGAAACTCTCACCAACGGAATTCCTCTCCAATTTAAGACCATATCTGTAATAACCCCGACCCCCGATTAACGTTAAGTCATGACTAATTATGCCTAATAGTAATTTAGGAGAAATCTGGAATTAATTTGCCTATGCTGAGCGTTGTTTGTATATTTCCATATGTTGCCTGTTTGCTTATTTGTTTATGTTTTTATGCTTTAAACTGCGAATTGAATGCCTTATCGGCGGCCGAATCTGAAATTGATTGATGTTCTATGTTAATTAGAATTAATGTGATTTTATGGTGTAATTATCTGAAAAGTGATTTGGTATGATTAAACTAGATTAAATTAAGCTAATTGGCAAGAGTTTAATTTATTTACCACTACGCCATTGAGTAGGCCATTTAGCCAACATATATTGAAGCTTTGTTTACATTGTACAACACTTGAACAAAACATTTCCTCAGCCATATTCATTGTCCTAGCCGACTAGAGAGAGAGAGACAAGAGAGAGAGTTGATTTCATCTCATTTTGGCTTGGAGATTAAGGGAATTAGAGAGTGAATTGCAAGATTAAGCTTCCTTGCCTATAATTCAAGACTTAAGGTAGGAGATTCAACCTTTTATTGATGAATTCAAGTTAATTCTTGCATGTTTCATGCTAAGCTGAAGAGTTGAGATTACAATTGGTTCAAAAGTGTTGATTTAGAGCTCATTCCATGCATGCATGTGCATATCTCTCGTTTTTGGAGGTTGTTGTTCATAAATTCCCACATGCATGTTCATGTTAATGTAAGGACCATGAATTCAACTTGTTTTTGGAAGATTAGACTCATTTGAACTTGTATTTAAAGCTTTGAATTGATTTAAGTTCATGCATGTTCATTTGAGATCATGTTCTTGAAAATTGGTTTGAAATTGGATTTAATTGAACCACCCTTGGGCTTTGATTTCTCAAATTGATCTTTGAAACATGTAATATTATGGGTTTTGAAGTGTTTTCCAGAAAATTAGCCCAAGAGGATCAAAATTTATGCATTAAAACTTGGTTTTGAGATTGGAACTCAAATCTGGGAATTCCAGATTTTGGGCTCCCGCTCGAGTGGGGGAAGTTGCGCGCGAGCGGGGAATTCGAGCTCCCAGCATCTTGCATTGCATTACAGTCTACTCGAGCGGGGAAATGGACGCTCGAGCAGGCATCAAGCACCCGTCGAGCGTGAATTTCACCTATCCAGCATTTTTGCAGTCCGCTCAAGCGGGGGAGTTGACGCTCGAGCGGAGCCCTTTGTTGCATGTCCGCTCGAGCGGGGAAACCCACGCTCGAGCGGGACCCTGTTTTTCTGAAATTTCTAAAAATGTTTCTAAGGCATTCTTTTGCATCCTCATTTCATCCTAGGCAATCCTAAGCCATGTTTAAGACTCCTTAATGAGAATTAAAGGTTAGAAACACATTAAGAACAAACGAAACAAGTTGTGCGTTATTCGAATGGATGTTCAAGTGTGTATGTTGTATGTGTGTTCATGTAGGTCACGCACCTCAAAACAAGTGGAGTGCCGCCTTACCATCTATTTAGAGCTATCAATCATCTGTGAGTAGTAACTTTGTAAAGTTGTGTTCAATGTTATGTATTTTCAGAATACTATGATACAAAATGATTGATTCTTTAAAACGCTATGATATGTTGGAAACGAATGAATGATTGTCCAAGATTCTGAAAGTTAACCGTGGCATCCTTAGCACTACATGATATGCGTCCCTTTATGGGTCATCAGAACGTCTCTGTGCACATGAGTCATCAAGTCCCTTTTATGGGTCATCAGGTCCCTTTATGGGTCATCAGATTTGTGAACGCTATTGGATGTACCACGTATGATTATGTTACAACCTGAATATGGAAATGATTTTGAATAAGTATATGAATCTGATTTCTAACTCTGTGATGGACATCATTCATTAAACTCCTTTATTCTGTTATTATTTATTGGGCTTTAGCTCACCATTTATACTATGTATGTAGGTGAACAAGCTGGTGACCAGGCCCAGAGTTGACGGCCTATGCCTTGGTTTTTGTCAGCCAACCCTTGCGCCTCCCGAGGAGGTTCCGCTTGAAGTCAAGTCTTATGGCTGTTTTGTGTTCATGCTGGTCTTGTAAATATGTTGTAAAGTTAGACCTTGGGATGTACACTTTGTAGATATTGGTACGTTTTGACTGGAATGTTATGTATATAAATAAGTTTTGAAATGTTCTGTTCCATGTACGTCATCACAGCTCATTGGACCTTGTTTATATTATATATTGCTTCCACAGCCCCTTACTATTTGTTAATGTATTCAAAGGCCTTTGGTAATCCATGGATTACTGGCCGGTTACGATGCTAAACCTACACGGGCGGGTTTGGGTCGTGACAATATTATTGTTATTCTCACCTTCAATCCTCACCCCATATAGACTCTTCCCTTCGCTCACCATTTCCATGGCTTCCATTAAGCTCTCTTTGCTCACTTGACAACCCTCTAACCCAAACCCTAATTGAAGATCACAACAGCCCATCTCTTCCCATTTATGAATCCATGCAAGAGAAGATATCAAAGGAGCCACAAAGAGACATTCCAAGGCAGTCCTTGCTTCTCCAAGATGATTTGGAAAAGCCCATTCTATGGATTCTAATAAAGCTTGTAATGTACCAAATGCCCATCCAAGAATGAACCAAAACTAGAGGAAATTTTTGGATTCACCCAAACATCTCCATCACCAAAAGCTATAATACCCATGTTATCAAAATCAGTTCTTCTACGTGCACAAGATCTGATCATAAAACTGAACACAATATTTTCACATGAAATGGAACCCACATCTAATTCTATAATCGGATTCTGCGTACTAAAAGATTTTCTATCAAAATTACGATTTGTAACGTAAGCTAGCAATTCCTTAGCCACCCTTAAAAATTTTGATAGATCTCTCCTACTTCTCACCCTGCCCATGTGGGGAAGCCTTAGCATGCAATTAAAAACCAACCACTCTCTTCTCCTTCCATTTCTCTTCATTGTCTTCATCTCATTAACCAAATCATGAAGTTCCATGGTATCCACAGTCAACTTTACGCAAAAAGCTTGGGCATGATCACACAACCATCTCCTTGTCTCTGCGAACCTCCAGGGTGAGGGGGAACACTCAGAATCTCCCTCGCTCCATTTTACTGATGTTAGTTTAAGTCTGATCTCCTTCCTTTGTTGCCATCCAATGGCTTCGATCATTGAAGGCCATTGAATCCCTTCCCCCATGTCAAAGTTAATGATGTGTATGAGCTCCACATCATGAGGCATGGCTTGGAGGATTGCTCTGTTGGCTGCGAAATGAGCAAACTTCCCATATGGGAATATTTGGTAGAATGTCATGAAAGCTGCAAGGAAGTTATTGTTTGACTCTTGCCTAAGGTAATCAGCTTGCTTGTCGAAGGATTGGAACAAGTAATACAAAAACCGATCCATGACTCCCCCAACCGGACTCACTTTCTCGCTTATACGCTTCACGATCACTTCGGAAAGCTGTATCTGCCCTTCATCAATGGCTTCTCTATAAGCTTTGATTAGATGAATTACATTGTTGATTTCCATGTTTTCAGTAGGTAAAGTTAGTTGCAAACTCTCCTCACTTTTCTCCGGCGACTTTGACAAAACCTCAATACCAAAATCCTCCACAGCTATCGAAAAATCGTCTTCTGGCAACCAGGTATCTGAATCTTTGACATGAACTTGAGGGTCTGAAAACTCGTCAAGTAAAGTGGTTGGACTTGGAAAGGTTGAGATTTTAGATTTATCAAGGGAGTAGTCCTCGGTTGTGATGAAAGGAGGACAAAAGTCGCGGTTGTAGTCATCCATGTCAACATCCATAGCCAATCCAAAATCTCCAAATTCATTGAATAAAAATGGTGAGCTTACGTTGTTGAAGAAGGGCCATGGAGATTGAAGAAACTTAGGCTGCATTGTGGTATTCATTGTGTTAACAGGCTAAAGTTGGGTAAATTACACTGACACCTAACGTTTATCTCCTAACGTTTTGAAAATTATATTTACACTTATGTAGTTAATAGTTTTATTTCATAAACCCTTTACTTATATATAAGGCAACAACCCCTAATAGAACAATAGAGGAAATTACATTAGAAAAAAAAAAAGGTAAAGCAAAGGAAAGGAAAGGAAAGGAATAAAAAAAAAAAATAGAGAAAGTAAAGTAAAGCAAAACAAGAAAGAGAGAGTATATGAGTTCAGTGTTTTCATATTGTCTAAATAATTACAAAGACAGGAAGGTTAGTGTAATTTTTCAAACGTCAAGAGATGATATATATTAAATCGAAACATTAGGGTGTAAGTTTAATTTACCTGCTAAAGTTTACTTGAAATAGTGTTGACTCTTGATAACAATGGGATAATTCTATTTTACACACAAAATTATCTTACTCCACATCCTCTCCCAATACACACACTAACTAATTTTGAATGTTGTAATTTTACTCAATGAACAATCTTTTTTGTCAAAAATATCATTCTCTTTAACATTGAAACCCTAAACCAACACACATTCTTTAGTTGGTGAAGAGCAGTTTTTCAAGCATTCTGGCAATGGCCCAGTAAAAAAATCTTTCGGTTGCAAAAATGAAACATATGTATAAATTGGGACACACAAGCAAACAAATAATACATCACCATAAAGATATTAACAAATCAATCAAAAAATTCACTTGCTACGAAAAATATAAATAAATAAAAAATAAAAATTGAATTGAATTGAAAGAATATTTACCACTAGATCCTTTGTTTTTTGATGTTTTTTTCCGTTGAGAATAGAATTCCTGTATAGTAGTGAAAATGTGCATGTATGAGATAGCCACACAAGAAACCCAAAAACGAAAGACGAAGAATAGGAAGAAGAAGAAGAAGTGAAATAGTAAAAATGGCATATTGTGAATAGTCTTTTCAACCGTGAAAATAAAACTGTAATAGAAAACTCTTGGAAACAATAGTAAAAAGGTATTGAAAACAAATATATAAACAATGTTTTAGGAAAATTCCCACTCAATTGGTTAGTGTTGAGATCAAGAGATTGCAATGAACTCAGATTTGCAAAATTGTTATAGCGGCGACAATAGTGGTGGACGGTAGCTGGGGTTAAGGTTAAGAAATTAGGATTTTGATAGAAAAGATAAGGATACTTTAATAATTTTATTTTACAACAAAATTATAATAAAAAAAATAAATCATTAAATATATACACAAAGATAAATAAATGTGTGAAAATATAATTTTCCATAGCAATGCCCTTCGAGTAATTATATAGAAAAACATACTATGGACAAACTCAAGAGTGAGACAAAAAAGTATATAATTTATATAAGTATATAAATTATGTTTGGATAATATTACCCTCCATATATTTAATCAAGGAATAGGGAACAACAACTTGACCTTTTATTTATTTATTCTTGGCGAAGGGAGCAAACATTTCATAACAAATCATTGGCCTTTGGAAGGAAAAAAACCACACACAAAAAAAAGTATATATTATTTATCAAACTACAATCTAATACTAGAAAAATTACTGAGAAAATGATATGTATGGACCACAGTTATTTTGACCTGACTCACATTATTTTTTCTAATCAATTTTAAATCTACATCATTGACTTTTTTTCAGAAATAAATTTCAAAACAAAAATTCATGGTTAATCAACCAAAAGAATAAGAGTTTATTCCGGAAATGACTTTTTGGTGAGATAAAAGAGATTGAAATATTTAAAAAATAAGTTTTTAACTTTGTAAAAAAGAAAAAGTAAAAAGAATGAAAATAAAATTTTGACATCTTTGTTTGAGTTGAAAACTATTTAACTTTTTTATTTTATTTTATTTTATTTTATTTTGTGACGCTTTGACTAAAATCCTTTATCCATCAATCATGAAAAACTAAAAACTATTGTTTAGGCTTGTCATATGCAAGTAACTTTGCTATGTGTATGTATATTTGTTGAGTTGTGCTACATACTTAGAAAAATAATTTAAAATTTAATGTAAAATTGAAATATGTGGATAAGATTTATTTTGCATATTAGTATATTGCCCATATCATACTCATTTTAAATTTATACTTTACACTTTAGGTAATTATGATTAAATTTTCATAGTACCTAAAATTATTTCTTTTATATTTTCCTCAGCATTGAAGTAAATTGATATATTCTTTTATTTCCCTCATTTTTTTTCTTGTATATATAACCAACAACATTAGTTTTCATCAGATGATTTGAACTGTGATGCTCAGGTCACTACATAATATTTTAGTTCAAGCAATATGGTTTTATTTTAGCCAACAAATTAATTTTTAGCTAAATTTTTTAAGGAAGCCCTAGAATTTTGACAAAAGTTGTATTCATTCAGTTAGAATTTCTTAACATGACTTGTGATGATAAGGAAATTTCATTATTAAATTATATACCCAAAAAAATAAATAAATAAATAAAAAATAAAAATTAGAGTAGATTATGCAACTCCATTGTGAAGTGGTTTAATCTTCCAAATATTTGACTATGACATCCTCAAAGAAGCCATTCTTCTGGAATTTTGTGTTTGTTTAGTTTTATTGATTCATGTTATGGTTTTTCCTTCATGTTTTGGAAAAAGATCTTCTCTATAATTTTTTTCATTGTTGTCATCCAATAATTTATTTAAAAGCCATAGATAGTGATAATAACAAATTTTTAGTTGTTTGACTTTTGGTTCAACTGTTGGATGAAAACTGAATGAAGAATATGCTTTGTGAGTTTTGGATTAATTGCAGAATGATGACGGGATGAAAAAAGTGTTAGAGAGAATTTAGATCTCTTCGTTTTACCTCGTAAATTATGGGATTGAAATAACAATTTGGTTACCTTTCCATAAATCATGTTTGTTTTGTAAAATATTAATGCTAGAATGACCATGTTTTGGACTGTATCTATGCATCATCACTGTAATGATAACAAACATTCAATCTCACTATATTTATAATCTAATCATTCACTGCACTAATAATCTCATTATTCAGTCTCACTGCACCTATAATCTCATTTGACATAATTCGCAAATAAACATGATCCAAGGATAACCTAATGCAAGAGACTCTTACTAAATGTACACATAACATGACATTTTCCTTAAAAAAACAGAGCATGCTTTGTAAAACACTATTAATTTACACCCTTGTTTTAGTCATGTATGATGTTGACATTAATAGCATTTCTAATGGACTTTCACCTCACAATTCTACATTCAAAGAAATATTTCATATAACACTTTATTAAGTGTTCTATGTTTTCCTCTCTTTCCGATGTAGGACAAAGTTCCCTAACTTATTTCAAACTTTTCAAAGAAAAACAAAAAAAGTTTTGAAAACAGTGAAGAAAATATAAGTTTCGAGTAAAAATAAACCAACCTTATCTCATTTTACCCCCATGTAAGATTATTTTAAACAATGGAGAATATTTGAACACATAAGAAGAAAAAATCAGTAGCTAAACCATCTAATCTATGCTTGCAAGAAAGAATAGAAATCACATAATTAAGAAATTATTATTCTATCAAAATGTAAACATGCATTGAGCTATTCTTGCTATGTGTGTATTAACAATGCACACTTTTGCATATTTTTAATATATAGATTCAGTTAAAAAAAAATATCTAAGGGAGGATAGAGGTTGAGTATTCCTACCTCAAGAGCTTTTACAAGCTATTCTTAAGATTAGTTTTGAAATGGTGACTACCAAGCACCCTCTTCTCTTCCTCTTTTTTTCTTTTTCCTCAGCCATGTGGATATAAATGAAAGGGCTGAAATAGTGTTCTATTTGTAGGAGTTTGGAGGCAATTTTTTTTTTCCCTTATTATTCTTCTCTTGGGAGCATTACCTACAATGTATAGGCCTAGGGTGTGGTTGTATGCATGCCTTAGCATGCTTGCTCTCAACAGCCCTTTTCCTTCCTAAGGAAGGGTGGCCGAATTCCTCTACCCAAACAAAAAAAAAAAAATCTGATTCCAATTTTTTTTTCTGGTGTGTGTAGAAAAATAAAAATCAATAAATATATATAACCTAGTCACTAGATATTTTTCTCCCTACTATCCTCTGATTAATTTAGTTACTATTTATTTAACTCATTTAGTTTCCACAACTCTATTTAGATACAGAAAGATAAATAATTTTATTTAAAGGAATTTAATATTGGTATTAATTATGATGCTATTAACATTATAATTTAATAATTTAATAATCACTATTAATTGACTTAATATTGTTATTAACAAACTAATTAGTTGTCCAAAAATTTAGTTTCTTACAGTGAAAGAAAACGTGGTTGAGCATGGCCAGCCCTCAGAGGTAAAGAAAAAGCCACCGATAGGCAAAAACTCAAAGCTATGGGCAAGAGGTGGTGTCTCCAAAAGGCCAGTCTACAAGCCGCAGGAACCTACTTTTAGGTTCAATGGAAAGTGCTTCAATTGTGGAAGTGATGGGCATCGGGTGGTTGATTGTTGCAAAAAAAAGAAGCCTTACAACAAGTACCCTCCACAGAACAAGAATCGTGCCCACATGGCTGAAATAAAGGATCTATAACAAGATATGGATGATATGCATCTAGCAACTGTCATCTTCAAAGTGAACATGGTGGGTTCCAACCCGAAGAAGTGGTGGGTGGACACTAGGGCCACTTGCCATATCTGTGCAGAGAAGAAGATGTTCACAACTTTCGAATCGGTTTCAAACGGTGAAAAGTTGTTCATGTGAAATTCTGCGACCTCAATTGTTGAGGGTAAAGGCAAGGTGGTCCTGAAGATGACTTC